TATATATATATATATATATGTATGTGTGTGTGTGTGTGTTTTGTTTTAATGATTTATTCTATTCCCACTAATCTCATTAATACTTTCATTTCAAATTCTTACATTTGATCTATATATTCAATTGACACTGAAAAATATAACTGTATTAAATAATTTTTATGAGATTATTTTAAATATTTTTTAATATACAAACAAGAAACGATGGTGGAAATGATACCTTTCAACTAAATTAAAACACCAGTAGGTGCCAGTAGTGAGCGTTTAATGAGTGAGTCATTGAGTCATTCATTCAAACGATTCGTTCAGCCTCGCCTCAGCAGCGCAACCTTATACTGTCAATAGATGCATTATATTCAGTAGCAATATCCACTATTCGCCACTTACTCAATGTAATAAAATCAGAATAATATTGCGTTTTGGTGTTTACATAGTTATTTTTGGTTACTGATGTTTTAATCATGTTACTTCTCTGGCGTTAATGAGTTAATGTCAAGCCCTGGAGTCTATAACGTTAAGTGCCGGGGCCCAGCCCCAGACGGCCCCCGGCCCAATTTAAACCCTGGTCTTATGTAGCATGATGCTACAGTGTGCATGAATGGTCACATAACACACGCTTTCGGTCTTGTAGTATGAACGGACATCTTCATATGATTGAAACTCTACACAGCTCCCGCGCTACTCTCCATTGGAAATGAATGACTTCCGGTCTGTCGCTTGTCGGAGATAGTGGAAAGCCGGCTTGAAACGCAGTGGAAATGTCAGTATGACGAGGATCGTTTTCATTTTAAAACAAAAGCGCACCAGTGTAACTGTAGCCTTACAGCTACGGGGGCTGGGACGCATTCACACTAAACACTCGCGTGTGAGCCACATCTCTGAGTGTGGCGCGTGACACAGACCGACCGTGCAGACCTATCCGTGTATTAGGCTATAGTAAGATTCCACGAGCAGACTGCTCTGTATGTTTTCGCATCGCTCTCGCGGATGTCAAACACTGATTGATCTGCGCCTCACTGACGTTGATGAGATTAACCCCTTAGGTATCGAAATTTGGTACCGAACGACGAGACGTTTCTCGATACTCGATAGTATCAAGGCAATTCGGTCGGTGCCTAAAAAGTATCGAACTCGAAACCCAGCCCTAGTCAATATACTTTGGCGCATTTTGACTACGGAAACCAAACTGCAACATCTGTGGAACGTTTTGATTATATTGTAAAATGATATGATTCGTGCATGGAAATTAAGGTTTTAAAACTTAATGAAAACGCAAATGTAAACAGACCAGATGACACCTTGCATTAAGTTACAGATATGCTATGCCAAGACTGGATGCAAAAGAGTAAACATGTGAAGAACAGTCATAAATGATTCAAATGATTCTTGTCAAATAAACAGCTCTCGCTCTAAATAAACCAGCCAGCAGTGAATGCATTAAAACAAGAGGCCACACAAACGCTCCCTTCATGAGCTCTGCGTCTGAATTATAGATAGCAGCTCTTTCATGAACGCACACAGGAGTGCGGTTGATTTGCTCACGAGTGATACGCAGCAGTGACTGTGTGAATGGAGAATCGCTGGGGAGCCGTGTAACTGGAGCGGCTGTGAGAAACCGTAGGACGGACAGCAGGACTGTGGGGTGAGGAGAGACGCAGAGACTGGGTTTGGGACGGTTTGGACTCACCATGATGAGTCCGGTGGTGATGGGCTCTGAACAGCCATGACACAGCTCTCCAAATTTAGCCCAGTAGTCCTTCTTACAGAAGAGACGGCCGTCCTTCTCATAGTACCAGTGTGAGAGAGACGCGCCACACTCACAGCACCTGCAGATCAAACACAAGGGCACAGCTCAGCATTCAGATCAAATTCATGCACCAATAACATTCTGCTGTGCTCGTTCACTGAAGACGAGTCCTCCTTTTCCTGACCGCTGCTCATTTCTCTCTGCACGTTTCGTAACATATATTTGCACACTTGATGTTGCACGTCTGCACTTGTATGTTGGTAGCGGAGCGGTTTGACGAGTACGAATGCTAGTAAGCAACATATCAGATCACGTAGGCCTGATATTGGCCAACAAATTCCCAACCGAAATGACTGTCTTCCAATGAAATTCTGAGGTTTGTTTGGCAACAGCCTCATTTAACTAGAATTATAGTTTATTTAGTGTATATATAGTGTATAACTAGAGATAGTGTATTTCGATGTGAATAAATACAGTTATGATACACAACAGATTCACAATACAGCACAGAGCCTTTAGAAAATGGTCAGTACTGTTTGTAAATATTAAGGACTCCAATCCTCATGAAAAATGTATGCGAATCGAATGGATTGGTGTTATTCTTACGATAGTAGAGTACAGCTGTTAGAGATGGATCCACAGCCACAAATATCTGTTTAATACTCAAACAATGAATGATACTCAGTAACATGTTTGAGCAGAGCTGAGCAAATGCATTGAGAAACCTAAACACACCAGCATCAGCATGACGTCAGATCATCCATCCTGTGTGTGCGTGTGTGAGAGTGTGTGTGTGTGTGTGTGTGAGAGAGTGCAGCTGTGAGTGTTTACTGTGGGCTTGTGTGGAGTGCTGGCGTCAGGCTGAGCACAGGCAGAGCCAGAGGAATCTTTTATCAGAGCAACAGCGGCAGGTCGCTGGATGACTGGCCCTCTGCCTGGGAACAGACGGGGGAAAAACACATACAAGACCAGCCATGGTTACACGTGTGTGTGTGTGTGAGTCTGTGTGTGTGTGTGTGTGTGTGTCTGTGTGTCTGTGAGTCTGTGTGTGTGTGTCTGTGAGTCTGAGTCTGTGTGTGTCTGTGTGTCTGTGAGTCTGAGTCTGTGTGTGTGTGTGTGTGTGTGTGTGTGTTGGGTTCTGTGGGTCTGTGTGTGTGTGTGTGTGTGAGAGTGTGTGTGAGTGTGAGTGTGTGTGTGTGTGTGTGTGTGTGTGAGAGTGTGTGTGCATGCGTGTGTTTGTGAGTGTGTGTGCATGCGTGCGTGTGTGTGTGGTTGTGTGTGTGTGTGTGTGTGTGTGTGTGTGTCATAACAGCAGCCAGACACCGATGCCTCACTGTCCTCTGTGTGTGATGAGAGTCTGAGGGAGTCCAGCTCATTATTGACCATCTGCTGCTCAATGACCCCTGAGCCTCATCACAACCTCTGGACAGAGACCAAACACCTCCTGACTGTGTTGGCCTACAACTACTAGATCTAGTGGAGAGTATTTCATCATGTTCATCAGTCTTCTGATCACAGTGAAGAAGAGGCTTTACCTTCTCACATACACACCACAGGACCTGAATGAGAACACGGCCAGTTCAAGCAAGGCGAAAGAGAAACGTTATTCACCAGATCTCAACACTGATCTAAGATGCATTACAGAAGTGTGTTTGTATAATATTTCATAATAATACAACATCTATGCACTTGCAGTTGTTTTTACCCAAAGAGAATGAAGTGTTGAGTATTTGCTGTCGCTCCTCTAACCCTACAGACAGACGAATCAATGAGAATAAACGAGAAACTCTCTTCCTCTGTGCTTTTAGTGTCTTATATCTCGATCTTGCACTACTCTGAATGATGCTGAAACTCTTTACTGCTAGCACTTATTGCCTCCTTAAAACGAATCGCTTGTTGTATTCCCGAGTCCTCAAGACACTTTGGATAAAAGCATCTGCTAAATGAATACGTGTAAAAGCAAATGCATCCGAGTTGTTTTTTATTACCCCCCATCATTACTGTAAACTGAACTTGAAGCGTCACTGTATTCATGTGCAATAAGGAAACACATTTGTCCTGATAACAATGGCTCTATAGAGCAGTGAATAACCAGGTTAAATGCTTTAGTAAACTAATTCCTGTTCACTGAATGCAAATACAGCAGCTTATTTTTAGAAAGAAGGAAGAACTGCAGCGTTCTGTTGCACTGAAGTGGGAATGCTGATGTGTGCCGTAATGCACCTGTCTTCAGGGAGAGAAGCATGTCTCTGCACGTTTATAATTCTTTATAATAGCAGATGCAACGCTGATAATAACAGCCGCAGAACATGGCTTCCCCTCACTGACTACAGATATAGAAGGTGTCAGAGCAGCCAAACCCCAGACATCATCTTCAGAAAGTTTGAGCACGATGCTGAAGCGCTGCTGTGTGCTCGTTCAATATAAGCCAAGCCCCAAATCTGATCGCTCAGAAAAGGGAAGTAAAATAAAATAAAAAGTGAGGAATCGCTCATGTCTGGAACACAAATGTTTAATGCTTAGCGTTCAGGTTTGACCGAATCACTAAACAATAGTAAAAGTCACGCTTCCCTCGGCAGACACACATAAAGCACTGGCCTGAATGAGAGCGAAGTGTTTGTCAATGAAGGCCTCGCCATTAGACCGATGAGAAGAGGAAAGCGTTTGGCCGCAGACGCAGGGGGATGCTGGGTAATCCATGCCGTGATCCCCAGGGCTCTGTTATCAGCGCTAATGATGATCTGACTGGCTTCAGCGTCTCAGATCTCTGATCAGAGCTGGCTTCTATCACTTCATTACAGCACATCTCCTACATCCAGCGCCCATCTACTGATCATCCCAGAGGATCTCTGTCGTAGAGCACCAGATCTAACAGCATCTGCAGTTTAGCTTCATTTATCAACTACCAATGTGCCTCTGAATGAAAATACTGACAGCACAATAACCGACGTTACTGGTTATTACTGCGCTCTTTTCCTCAGCAGAAACATCTGAGAAGTGAGAGCCGTCTTGGGGAAACATCTCGTTGTGGAATCTGTATTTGAAAATCATTTGAAAACATCTGTCAATGTGTTTTGCTTATTGGTGCTGCTGTTATAAAAATCTATGCTTTATTACTGTGATATAAAGATGAAATTGAACAAGAAATAAAACATGAAATACATATTTGTTATTAGACATATAAACACAAGTGATCAGTATCGGTTATAGATTAAATAAAATCAATATTGATCGATTTCTACACATAATACTTTTGTTAAGGTCAGGAATATGGACATGATTAATAAAATGTGTTTCATTCCATGGGTCTCCTTAACATTTACCATAGTAAGCAAAGATACTTTAAGCAAAGTCATTGTTACTACAGTAAAACCATAAATAAATAAATACCCACCCTAACAAGCCTATGAGAGTGTTTCTGTCATTTTAATTTCTTCCTGTGATGGCAGCGGTGAATAGTCACTGAGACCGCAGCTCCTACAGTGTTTATGTGTAACTGTGGTAATGTTGAGTAAGGGATGCTCATTCCTTCACACTCAAACACAGCGGCAGTAGGTTTATAGCTGCACTCGAGCTTCAGTGTTACTCCATCAACACACACTGATGAGGATCCCTCAAAACAGGATTCTCCGTGAGAGAGCAGCTGTGCTGGGTCTCGCCAGGGAAAGCTCATCAGACTCATTTACACACATTTACAGTAAGTGCTCCACAATACAACCAGATTCTGATTTCCCTGAAGACCAGCTGAGTGACGTGGGTGATCAGCGGTCACAGGTATGTGTGGTTAAGCCTGTTTTTCATCTGGTTCATCATCCAGCGGGTGAACTCACTGAACAACTCGTTCACTGGTTGAGGACCGAGGACAGACTGAACTATATGCAGATGACATCTTCAGAAAATGTTCATTTGTATTAGAATGAAAAAGTGTGACTCAATACTGCGAGTCTATAAAACAAACCCAGTCATTTCTGACATACCTAAAACACCTCCAGACATAACTAGAATTCATCAGTGCAAAACAGCACATTATCAGACACGTGAAGCTCAGATTCAGCAGACATTAACATAAATCACACAAGCCCTGTAAAAACACGGATTTTGAGGAAGTAATTCTGTGTGCCTCTTACATGCTCAGGGTGTCATACACAGATTAAAAAGAAGTATCCAAAAGATACAAGTTACGGGGATTGAGTTGGGCAGGTCCAACAGATGGGCAGATATCAAGATACAAAACTTGATATCACATTACAAAATGTTTCTCTATTGAGGAAAAAAAGAACAATGCAAATAAAATGCCAATTTGTAAAAAATACATAAAGGATGTTAACACTATTCGACTCCACCGAGCAGGGACACCGGCAAGACACATAAGTATCGCTTCTGAATCATTCTCTTTCCTACTACTTGTTCCCTTTCTGTTTTCAGTTTTTATAAGCAATTCTTACCATGTGTTTCCAGATCCCTACTATCACTACCACTCGCAAGCCATGCATCACACACTGTAGGTAGCGCAATCCTAACAACCTGCGCACTTTGCCTATGTCTACTATGTAATGTTTTTATTATTTATAAGCTCTAAAAAGGGGAATATTTATGACGAATTATAACTGGTTATGATTCATAATAAATATTTAGATTATATCTTCGAATTAACTGCAGCAGAATCAATATTACAATTATTTGATCTGTCCGTCCACCGAGCAGACAATATAATCATTCATCAATTCAAGGAATGTTTATTTTTCTGGCCACGCAACAATAAACTGTCCTTCTTTGTCAAGTGCTCGCATTAATTTAGCAAATATAGCAAGGGTTCACACATTCATTGACTTCAAACTGTGAGCAGCAAACAGAGACAATCCGTTGTGAATATAAGGGATTTAATAAATGAAACTATATCTAACATA